CGGTGGTTGGCTGCGGAGGAGTCCACCTGTTTAGCCATTACGCCAACTACTGGTCCGGACAAATGACATTTTTTAAAAAAAGAAGTATTTGTTTAATTTTATTGATTTATAATTATTATTTTTAATTATGTATTCTAACTTTTATTTATTTATTATTATTTTTTTAATTTGACCAGAGAGAGACATAGTGAAAGAGACAGGGACAGAGAGCAAGCAAACAACCACGTCCAGGACTTGAACTGTGCTTGGTCATGTGGGAGTCCAGTGCCTTAACCACCACGCCACCTGCCGGCCAGATCAATTACACTTTTAAGCAGACCTGACTGTCCTACATTGGTTTTCTCACCCCTGCCCCTACCGCCCCAGCTCTAGCATGCCCACCCATCCTCTCTGCCATCACATCAGAAAACGTGTCATGGTCCCTCGCCCCGGGCCCCGCCTCCCTTCCAGCCCCTGCTCCTGTCCCTCTCTCCAGCCAGCCCAGACCCTGCAGGGCAAGGGGTGCCCATGTCACGTCCCACTCTGTCTCCTAGGGCTAGAGCTGCTAATCGCCCAGCCCGGGTCTCTCCGGGAGCCCCTGCATCACCCAGCGTGGAAAGAAGAGGCTCCAGGGAGGGTTTCTCTAGAACTCCTGATTCCAAGGAGTGGGCAGGAGAACACACCCAGAATCCTTTGCTCTGTGGTCACCCAGAATCCTTTGCTCTGTGATCACCCAGAATCCTTTGCTCTGTGGTCACCCAGAATCCTTTGCTCTGTGGTCACCCAGAATCCTTTGTTCCTCCATCACCCAGAATCCTTTGTTCCAGAATCCTTTGCTCTGTGGTCACCCAGAATCCTTTGTTCCTCCATCACCCAGAATCCTTTGTTCCAGAATCCTTTGCTCTGTTACCACCCAGAATCCTTTGTTCCTCCATCACCCAGAATCCTTTGCTATGATCACCCAAAATCCTTTGTTTGGCCATCACCCAGAATCCTTTGCTTGTGATCACTCAGAATCTTTTGTTCCTTGGTCACCCAGAATCCTCTACTCCTTGGTTACCCAGAATCCTTTGCTTCTTGGTTACCCAGAATCTATTATTCCTTGATCACTCTTAATCCTCTGTTCTTTGGTCACCCACAATCCATTGCTCCTCAATCACCCACAATCCTTTGCTCCTTATTCAACCAGAATCCATTGCTCTGTGATCACTCAGAATTTTTTGCTCCCTGGTCACCCAGAATGCTTTGCTCCTTGGTCACCCAGAATCCTCTGCTCCTTAGTCACCCAGAATCCTTTGCTCCTTGGCTCTCCAGAATCATTGCTCTTTGGTCCTCAAACTCTCTCCATGCCTGCCATGGAGGATGACCCACAGTGACTCTCAAAATATCCCCATGGTGGGGAGGGGTGCCAGCAAGTGGCATGGTGGTTAGGGCACTGGACTCTCACATGGGCACCCATGGTTCGAATCTCAGACCTGGCGGTTTGCTTTCTCACTTTCCCTTTCTCTCTCTGTCTTTCTCTGGTCAATTTAAAAAATAATAATAAATAAAATTAATAATTAAAACAAATCCCAATGGGGATTTTTAGCATCAGGAGGTGGAAGTTTGGTCCCTACCTACCCAAACTTGCCCAAAATACCACCACAGGAAATGATAGTCGTAACCACAGCAAATCCTTTCTCACCACCCCATAGCCACCCCATAGGGGGACTCGGTCACCAGGCTTACAGCATCTCCTAGCAGGGGAAACGGAGGCACAGGCACATCCCCTCGCCTGAGCTCACAGATGAGAAGGACATGGGGGGTGATCATGCTTGGGGAGTCAGAGCCAGGTGCAGTCACTGAGCACCGACTGCATGCCCCAGCCCCGGGCCACCTGCTTTACCTCGTACCACCCCAGGGAGGTGGGCACACACTTGGAGCCTGCCTGCCAGAAGCTACATCCAGGCCCAGCTTCTGGGCTGCAGCGGGTACTGGGCAGAGTGATGGAACCCACATGGCCAACTGCAGGTTCCAATCCCCAGCCGGGTCGACCTGAAACATGCCAGGTATGTGACAAACTGGGGGATGCTGATTATGACATGATTAGATCTCTGGGTTTTTTGTTGTTGTTGTTTTTTGAGAGGTTTTTGCTATAGGGCATGTGTGCTTGCCAGAGAGACAGAGAGACAGAAAGCGAGAAATCACTCCCCAGGGGGGATGGCCACACCACAATCCCTTCTCCATTCTCCTCTCGGGATCTTGGGCACGCACGCACATGCGCCCGGCGTGAGTTTTAAGCCACCGGGTATGGGACTTGAACCGCGGTTGACTACGTGGAAGTCCAGAGACATAGCCATTACGCTAACTGCTGGTCTCACCAGATCTCTATTGAGGGTGCTTCTCTCTCTCTCTCTTTTTTTAAATGATTATGTATTTTGTTTCTATTATTATTTAAGTTGACTAGAGAGACAGAGAGAGATAGAAAAAGGGAAAGTGAGAAAGAAAACCACCAGGTCCAGGACTTGAACCACCGTCAACCATGTAAGAGTCCAACAACTTTGTTGGGATCAGCAGACGGCGTAATGGTTACTTCACTGGACTCCCACAGAGTTGATCACATTTCAAATCCCAG